TCGAGTTGGGGCTTTATCAAGCTTCCCTGGGAATCTCTATCGCCCCCCTCCCCCTTTTTTTCCTCTGAACTTGCTTATTTTATTTATCGCGGGATATGCGCGCCGGCTGCTACGCGGGCAGCTTCCGTCTTTCGACCGGTGGAATTTTCTTTGTTTTTTTCTTCCTCGGCCAAGAATTTACTTCGAGAGAACTTTTTTTTCTTATTTCTTTTTTTTTTACGAGCGAGTGGAGCTGCATGTGTTCGAAGGACGCGCGCCAGGGAGGACGAAAATTTAATATCGAGAGGTCGGCTTCTTGAACGAATTTTCCCTTGGGAAATTTTTTTTTTCTTGCAATGGTAAATTTTCGATCTCCGTCTTTTATTTTATTTTTATTTTTATTTATTTATTGTTTTTTTTTTTTTTTTTCTTGAAAAGACATTTTTTCGACATTCCGAGTATTGTGTACCTGATGATGGACAACATAGAGTCGAGTGTTGGACTCGGGTAAATATTAACTCTGGACTTTTAATAACCGAAATTAGCTGGGAAACAAAGTGAGGCCAGAGTTGTAATTTTCTGGGCTAAATACATTCATATTATAAGAGCAGTTATTCGCGAAAAATCTAAAAAACTGAAAACAAAAACAGTATTCGCGCACGAACGTTTTAAAATCAACAGCCAAAGTCCGAGCGTGTTTTTCTATGGCACCGCAAAAATATTCTCGAGCTGTTTTCATTAAACACTTGTAGCTTCGTATATTTGCCTGACGCCAAGAATATTATGAGGTTTCATGAGGTCATGGGCGGTACGCGGAAATGCAAACATCATGGTCTACGCGTATTTACGTAGGTGACGTATTTTACTCAAATAATCGATATTACAAGTACCTTTGGAAAAATATTCGGTCAAGTATATTATAGCTGACACGAAAAGGCAACGATAGAAGCAAACAGAATAGTCGCATATTTCAGTACGAAGAAATACCAAAAACCTTGAATTGACGTTTTACGAGAAACTTATTGCTGTAACAGAATATACTTGTGAAGTTTGGCACCGTAAGTAAATGCACGCACACGTTTTACTTTCGATCAAAGAAACAATAGAGAATGACGTCTGAGCACGAGTTCACACTTGAGAAACGCAAGCTTTTAGTTGAGAGCAAAAGTTGTACTTGTCGCAGCTTTTTCATATAATTATCGCACACTTATTTCCAAAGAAAGTCAAACCCCAATAAATCGAAGCAATGATCAGTTGAAAAAATAAAAGCAATAGCGGCTCAACGTTTTACGCGATGAAGCAAAATAAAACTTGATTTTACTCTGGCACGTGGTACAAATTTGCAGAGCCGGGCTTTCCTGATTTCGAAAAAGGTGTGAAAACACTCCGCCAACCACCTGCACGTCGATACAGTCAATAACACTGGTTCGAAAGAAAAAAATCAAGAGCGCCGTCACAATAGAGTAGTTGTAGTTATTGTTGGCTTTCGAGTCGCAATAGAGCGAAAACCCTTTGCGAACCTATCTACCAAGCACACGCAGGCACAGATAGACCGTAGGACCCACCTCTTTCTCTTTCGCGCTTCATCACCGCCAAGAGAGAGAAAGACCTCAAGAGGCACTCGGCGCGCCCGTTCGATTAGCCATTGCAAGTACCCTCGAACGAATCCAGAGCGAGTTTATTCTTCCCTTTCCTTTTTCCTCTTCCCGGATTTTTCTCTAATTCTCTCGAGAGGGATCCACGGAGCGGTCAAACCAACCCCGCGTCCTTTCTGTCGTGCTTCACAGAGCATCACTCGTTTTGCTGTAAACGCTCCCCGTTGCGTGCACCCGGTTTCACTTATCCATACATATACATATTGCTAATGGTGTCGCATGTAAAAAACGAGGTATTTCAGCTCCTTGGCTCATTTGCGTGATTATAATTTGGGGCTTTGCTACCCTCTTTCTCCCTCACGGCGAATACCATCTCGTTATCGCGCTTCTAGACAAATGTAGAGGTAGATATTTAAACAAAATGTTATTAGTCGCTGCAGTTGATGAAGTTTCAGAAACCAACGGGTATGCCTCTACAAATGACTTCAAGCTGCTCCTGCTGCGGATGGCTTGCCCATACTGTGCCAAATTAAGGCAAGCCGCCCTTCTACCCTAGTACGCGCGTGTGCACGTGTATCGTTAAAATTTTCCACTTAAAGTGTTGACTCGATTCTGCAGTACAGTAGCACGGAGCGTTCCTTTGGCACCTCGACTCAGACGCAAAAAGGTATAACATACGTACGAACTCGTTGTTGAGCGAGAGTTGAGTAAAGCTCACGCATGAATTTACGAGTGGGTGGCAGGTGCGGCGAGTAATTGGGTTGAGGAAAATTTTTAATTTTGAAAATTCGTGGAAATGATTACTTGTATATTAATGTGTATTACGCGTTTTTCAAGGTTTACACAATTTATTTATTTATTTTTGGTTGTACGCTACGCCGCTCAGCCAAGTCGCCCCGAGGGTGTGCCCTAATTGCAGTAGTGCAAGCGTCTGATTAGCGCCTACATGCAGGCTCTTGAAAAAAAAAGAGGAACAAAAATAAAAATGACAACTCGTCCGGTAACGAAGTACCTACATTTGCGTTTCTTCTTCTTCTTTTTTTTTTTTTTATTTTTTTTACTCTCTGCCTCTTCCTCGTCTCTAAGTTTCAAGGACCGTTACCATGCACAGACGACGCGACGAAATTGCCTAATGAAGTTTTGCCCGAGGATGGTTTTCCTTCTTTCCCTTGCGTTTTTTTTTCGTGGATTATCAGTTTCGCGATATAGAAAAAAAAAAAAAAAAGTTGTTGGAAATCGCGAGCAACGATAGAAGTACCTCATTGGACGGGACTCGAGCAATACTTCAAATCGACACGCATTCAAGGAGGGCATTAAAAAAAAAAAGACAAAAACGAAATCAGGTTAATTGAAATTCATCGCTTGACGGACGAAAAGAAAATGTATTTTTTTTTACTCAAGCGCAGGTACTTGATCCACACACGCTGTGTACGCTTACATATAGGCTGGTCATAAAATATTGACGATCAAATATTGCAACAACAACTAGGTATACTAGAGCGATGACTAATTCATGCAAGCCACGTGTATTGGCGTGTCTCTATGAAGCGGACTACACCTTGCTAATAGAGTCCAATCTCCTGGCACTTGTGTACATCAATGTTACCAGAGATATATTATACGTGTGTTAACGCGTCCCACGTTTATCGTAGTTCCTTTAATTTTTGTACACGCTAGCAATACCGTTAATTTACAACGAGAGGTTTTCAAACGTCATTTTCAAGTGCCGGCGGGGTGGAGCAAAGCTATAGATTAATGGCAGGTACAACGGCACAGCGCTCCGAGACTTTTCTGGAAATAACGGCGCGCACCAAAGCTACGTAAGAATTTTTCGGGAGCACCTAATGTTGAGAAACGCGATGTAAGACGATTGTACACTTTTATTGAGGGCTGAAATCCCAATTTCACGAATGACGATCGTTTGTGCGATTAAAATATCCAAACTCGGTGAAGCGGAGGTCCTGGGTATAGATGAACCGAGTTTCCGAAGGATCCAGATGAGCCAAAGAGGCGCTTCAAACTTCCCGACCGAGTGCCGAGATAGCTCGCCCTCGACTCCGGCAAGTGGTCTTTGGGTGAAACTTGGGGGCACCCCTCGACACGTTGGTCGGCAAACTCGCATCGCGTATAGCGTCAGAGACGTCACGGAGACGATGATGACGAATCGACTACGCTTGCATGGCTGTTTTGGCACGCACCGCACGCCTCCTCCGCCGAGGCAAGAAAGTTTGCCAAAATTCTTGGAGCGAGTTTCCGGGCGTGCTTGCATATTTGAAGAGCTTTTTTTTTAGAAGCAGTGAGCGTGGGCGCGCGTCGCAGCTGGGGTTGAAAGGCGGTTCACGTGACGAGGGTACCAGCTATGTATGCTCTCTCGTAGCTCGGGCGGGCTTTTTTTAGAAGCTCTCGTTTTTTTTCGCGTTTGTGACGCGTTGCTGTTTGAAAAGCAAAGGATCGCTCGGAGTTTTTGTGAATGACGACGGCTGTGTGCGCGCACGTGTGCCGTGCAGTGGCGGGAGTGCAAAGCGAGACAGATTGGATTTTACTTTGGAAAAAATACGATCGAGGCAGTTTTTTATTGATTTATTTTTTATTTTTATTTTTATTTTTTTTTTTTGGTGCACGATCGTTGCTGCATTTTAAAACGCGATTGGTGAAAATGTGTTGTTTTTTTCCTTATTAGTTGGATATTAACTTTTAGGGAAAGGTGCCGCGTGTTCTTTGATACTCGTGAACTTGCATCGATGTCGTTAATTAAAATCAAAGGTTGATAGAATTTATTGAGACGTTTTTCAAAAACACGTGTCCCTTCGTTGAATCAAAATCGCCATCATTTCAAAGAAAAATCAATCGTGCGAGTTTTGAGAAAAAGGCACAGCGAGCACGGCACGCCCGAGCAAAGAGTTTTTTTTTTAATATTTATGCACTCTGCCTGATTGCTCTTTCATAGAAAACACCAAGCTACACTTTTTTGCTCGTAAAAAGTAGGGAAGGATAAGAAAGAAAAAAAAAAAAGTACTCCTCACACAATTTTTTAAGGACAATTGCGTGCAACGTCGAATTCTTTACGTTTCCCGTCGTACGCCACAAACTCGATTTTTCTTTTCTACTGTGCAATTTTATTATTATTTCACGCAACATCAGCTTGATCAGTGGGACCATTTTCACGTTCCATGGTACTTCTAAATAAAAACGAATAACAGTAAGAATAAACGTGAATAATGAAAAACCTCGGCTCGTTCAAAGATTCAGTAGAACAAGTCGGCGTTTGGTCAGACGCGCCCATCTGTAGCCCAAAGAGCACCATACCTCCGACAAGCGTCTTCCACCCACATGGGCCATCCATCTCGCTCAGAAATACATTCATGTATATACATACAAGGGAGGGGGGTCATGGTAAGAGTAAAAAAATGATGAAAAAAAGCTCACCGTGCGGAGTGGTGAGGTCAGGCGAGGGCGGATCCGGTGCCCCGAGCCCAAGGGCCGGCAGCATCAGGGCCACAACAGCCGCGAAGAGAAGTCGCGCGGACCGGCTCCTCCTCGTCCCGGCCGAGGCCTGCGAGTCCCCTCTCATCTCGGCCTCGTCGTCGCCTCCTCCACCCCTTCTTTCTCGCCGACGTCGTCTTGGTCTTCGGGTCAGTAGCCCCGCTGGATCTTCGGAGGACACACGCGACACATCAGAGGATCGCCCGTGGAGAAGTCGCGCAGGGATTTCTTTTTCTTTTTTCCTACGCGCGATAACAACGCAGGGTCTCGGGTGCTACAGGGTGTACCATCCACGAATTTTCGAGCTGTTGTTACCGCGAACGGCTCTGTTTCTCCGTTTTCATGCATATTATATGCAGAGTACGAGCCGCGATAATAGCTCTCCCTGAATACCTAATAGTCGTCGCGGTGATATTTCAAGGCAGCTCTCGAGGGGAGAGACGCACAGGGCTGGTGGCTCATCTCGAAACTCGTTCCCTTTTTGCCCTGGCGGTACACACGTACCCTTCGTATCTAGGACTTTTTTTTTTTTTTTTTCCCAACGCCCGAGGGGAGTTGTTCGGTGAAACGCGGCTAAACGATGTGCAAACATCGAGATGAATAGGACACACGAGCGCACTCGGCCGAAAAAGGAAGTAGAACCAGCAATGGGTCCACGAGTTTATATTACGTATGACGTACGGCTTGGAGAGGTCGAATAATTTTTTTTTTTTTTTTTTTTTTTTTTTTTTTTTTTTTTTTTNGATCGCTGTTGGGTAATGTCGCATCTATCGTTATGTATACAGTTTATGCTAATAGATCGACTTTCCATTTCGGTAGCTGATGCACAAACACACGCCCGCGCGCCATCGCAAAGAAGCGCCGTATGTAACCCACACCGATACAAATCGGTAGTGTGTGGTTTTGCTCTCCGAAAGAGTCAAGAAACCTGTTTGCCGTACCTTGTATTACCCGCCAACCTGTCGAGCCCGTAATTCAGCGGGTAATTTGTGCGCGGCTGTCCCTCTCGACTGGCCCACTTTTACCTTTTTTTTTTTTTTTTTTTTTTTTCGTCCTCTCCACCTGTCTTCGGCGCAACTCGTGAATACAAAAGCTGCGTTAAATAAATCGTTAAAGAAAATTCTTACTCTTATCGAGTTGAATCGGCCCAAAATTAACGAAAAAATAACCGCGTTTGAAAAATTTTCCATCTCAGGCGCTACACCCGCGTCACCTTCTTACTTTTGGTGAATAATTCACGGCCCGAGAACTGCCGCGCTCGCTTATAGTACGGCGAAAGAAAGGTACCCAATGGCCGGTTATACACGTGACTGTAATTGCGACAGCGGTAATAATTAATAGCCACGATGAGCCATCGATTGTCGTTTTTTTGTCATTAGGATTTGTACGGTACGTTGCACTCTCCGACTATCCATCGGAAAATGAACAAAAAAAAAAAAAAAAAAAATCCATTCGCGCTCGTTGGGTAAAAGTAACCCGGAATCAAAGCAATTAAACATTTTTATTAAATTCACACTCGTTTTTTTTTTTTCATTTTACTTTATTTTGTTATTGTTGAAAATTCACAAAGGCGTGTGCGACACTCAATTGCACGCTCTACTTTTACACCACCCCTGGCAGGTATAATATATTAACGTTCCGCGTTAAAGAAAAGAAAAGAAAAAAAGAGACTTTTCTATATCATCGGTATAAATTTTTCAACCCAAGACGAGGGGTGGTTCAATCAACGCCAGCGAATGAGTTACCGCGAAAAGTAATATTGTACATAGGATCAATTAACAAGTCATCGAGAGAGTTCGGTCAATGTTTGAGGGGAGGAGGAAAAAAAAAAAAAAAAACCAGAGTCCATTGGCACTGGCGCAAAGAACTACCACACTGCGGGCGCGGAAAACAATCGGACGTGCACACGTTGCCGTGTATAAGCAAGTACATACACGAAAGTGCGCGAACTCGGTATTATCGTGTATACATGTATATATGCACGTGTCCGCAGTATCGGGTGCCTGCACACACGCGACAATTACCGGCGATCGCGAAAAAGTTTCTCCCGACTCGAGTGGAAGCAAAAAAAAAAAAAAAAAAAGAGAGAGAGAAAAAGAAGCCCCTGCGGAGGGAAGGAAAGAAAGAAGACGGAGGATGTAGGTGTATATATATATATGTATATGTATAATCGCTATTACCAAGCCAGAAGCCGGTTCGTCTCCTCGGCACGGAATATCACATCCTCTTCCCTTTCAACCAACACCCATGCACACATTGTGTCCGTGTGGCGTGTCATATACAACAATGGATTCCGTATTTCTTTCCTGCGCCGATATGTGTGTATACGTATGTACAACCCTCACGGCGATTGGGCTGCTGCTCCTGATCGATCAGGCTTCGGTCTGCGCTGCATTATTACACCATCCGAGGGAGTCAGGCAGGCAGTCGTACGTAGGCAAAGCCACCCCCCGCTGCCGACTCTCCGACTGTGACCTGTACGTGTGTGTATATTCTCATACCGATGTACAAACACAGGGTGGCACTGGCTGGCACGCGAGATATTGCACGAGCGCGCACAACCGCGAGGAAATTTTATATTACACGAGTTTGAGGTGATGGTGAAGGAAGAGAGGGAGAGAGAAAAAAAAGAAAAATTTAGCTTCGCGATCTCCCCCCTCCTTTTTTGGAGCCCTCTTTGTCTGGACGTGAGAATTAACGCGAATTAGAGTAGTTCCGTTCTATCGGTCGATGGAATAATTGCTCGATTTAGGGAGTTGGGCGGCTCGCGATCAAACGAAACTCCGTACATCGACCGTTACTTTCTTCCATCCCTCCGTCTTTTAGGGGCTTTTTTTTCTCAATGTTGCATCAGAACACTGGCGAGCTGATGACTCAACATCGTCAGAAATAAAGCCTCTACGGAGACAAAGAACTCGGAAGCGCGTAACCACCGACCGTACGGCCACAGTAGCGCATTTAGAGGGTGCAAGTCGTACGAATCGGCCGCTCAGCTGTCCATGTATACGTGCACGCGAAAGAGGTGGAGGCTCCGAAGAGCCTCTATATTAGAAAATTCCGGCCGGCGTAGTACACATTTTTTTGCTCTCTCCCTTTTATATTCCTCAACCGACGCTCATCGTATACAGGAGCGAGAACCCCTTTTCCCTTCACCTGCACTCGCGATATCTATGCGTCGGCAAGAAAAAAGAAAAAAGTGTAAAACACCAGGGCACAAAAAAAAAAAAAAAAAAAAAACGGAATTGGTTGCGCGCGCAGGGCGTACGTTATAGTCGCGTGAAGCAATGAAACGGCCCGCCGGCGGCCCGCAGGGTAGAAGCAGCAGCAGCACACTACCGGGGCAGTCCTGATGGGTCGAGGCTCGCTCCCTCGGTTGGCGACGCGCCGCCGGCAGACCCGAAGCTACCTTCGACGTCGCGACGCCACAACTACACGTCCTCCTCCTGCCGTTTCTAGGGCGCCGGCGCTTCAAAGCCCCCCCCCCCCCCCCCCAACGACGTATGTACATACATGTTCCGCTGCTCCTGATGTTGGCACCCTCTTTCTTTCTTTCTGGTGGTGTGGGTCGGCGGTGCATCGCGTGCCCTGATGCGACGTTTGTTATAATATGTACTCCCATACTTTTTCTCTCGGCCTTTTTAGGCGCGGGTACCTACTGGCACAGAGTCGCAATCCAATTCAAATTGTTTTTCATTTATGCTCTTTTTTTTTCTTCCTTTTTTTAATTTTTTTTTTTTGGGGGGTGGGGGGAAAGAAAGGGAAAAGAAGGAAATACACGATACAAGTTATGACGACCTCTGTACTGAAAATCTTTGTTTTTTTTCCCTCCCCTAAAACCGACACACTGCACGTACGGTGTATAGGGGAAAAAAAAAAAAAAAAAAAAACGAACCAAGGCAAGCACCGAGTGGTGAGATCTAACACAGCCGCCTTTTGTGCCACCTTCTTCGTCTTCTCTTGTTCGGGGCTTCGTGAATACAAGTATATCTGCTACGTGCAGTGTCGCTCCAAAGAGAGAGAGACGACGCTTCCGTCCCAAAGGCCCCGCAAAGAACGCCAGGAGAGTCAATGGAACTTGAAAAGCTCGTGTCGAGGGTGCCCGGCATTTATGTTCGGCCCGACTTTCTGCTCCTTTTTTCGACCAAAAACTCTTACACATCGGATCGAAACAAAAGGCGCCGTGCTCGCTCGCTGATGTACTCGTATGTATATATTTATGTACTTGGAGCTTGGCGTATCAATCCACAACAGAGCTAACTGTTTCGTTAAAGTTTACTCCAAAGTGACATTTTCGTGCTGCATCTGGATAATGAGTTTCAGAGACAAGATTCATACGATTTTCATCGAAATGATGCAAATATATGTCGATAAATGTTGTTACATTAGTGATGACAAAAAAAAAAAAAAAAAAGGCCGTGACGATAAAACCTCTCGGTCGCGCGTCGTTAAATGATTCATGCAAATAAAGAAACACGTGTATATCATATAATATGATATCTAGACGCGCGAGTGTGTAACACACATTGCTCGTCAGTCAATAAGTATAAAGCAAGGAATGGGATTGTAGGTTTAACGTTTCTGCGCGTACAATCGCTCGCTCGATCGTGGATTTATGGAGATTTTTCAGCGAGTATGTGTACACACAATATAGGTGAGTATCGCTGCTGAGCCAAGGTGTACCGAAGTTACAGGCGTACAGGTGAAAGGCAAAGAGAAGAAGAAGAAAAAGAAGAAACAACGATTTGAAGCGTGTGCCGATGCATGTGCGTATGTATAGGTACACATATTATATGTGTGGCCTCTCTTGGGAAATCACTTTGATGAATCCGTACGGAAGAATTTTCGTAATCGAGAATTGTTACTCGCGCGTCCTTGCACGATAGGCATACACGTAACATCAATCTAATCACCAGCCAGTGCATATGGGTATACACACACACGCTCGCTCGCTCATCGAAATGATCGCGTGAAAAGGTAATGCGGATAGATACTTATTTAATACATCTATATATGCTTGCGAGTGATGTATGATTGCCATTCGTTCATTACAGTTGCCGATGAAAAGAGTCAAGGTGCGACTAAATTGCACTCGAGAAATGGCACCTGCCATTTTTGTTTACCCATAAGGTCGTTTTTATGCTCGTACAAGCTATATGAAGATAAGGGTAGAAGGCAAATTTTCTGTGTATGGTTTTTCAAACATTGTTTTTTTTTTTTTTTTTTTTTTTTTTTTTTTTTTTTTTTTTTTTTTTTTTTTTTTTTTTTTTTTTTTT